GACCCATCAAGCCTTACTTGAAAAAGTTCACCTTAAGTCGTCAATTTGGCTTAAGTTCAAAATTTTTATTTAATTTGGGTTTTGGCCAATGATCAGTGAAGGGCTGGTTATTTACAGTTTATTTCCGTTGTGAGATAAAGTGTGGGATTATCTGTAGGCCTATTATTTGTTCCCGTTAGATCATAACAGTCATAAGAATTGTTGTGACCGTAATGTCGCCACTGGAACTTAATCTTGAGATTAGATACCAGAAGCTACTGGGAAGTTGTTTAGATATATAGCGTCAGTTGATGTGTGTTTTCTTTAACTCATTGGTCTGATAGGATAGCGTCTGATGCTTTCCTTAACTTGCAGAAACTGAAATGTGTTTTGTTTTGACGCTGGACAAGGATAAGCCAAAAAAGGAATTTGATCTCATTAAAGAGACGATGAGCTACATTGTTCAGAAATATGGCTACCAATCTGCCAGCTACTGTGTGATTTTACGTAAAAACAACGAATTGATTGGTGACATAAACTTTGAAGAGAGGTGCTCTTGTGAGGCCACACCGCAAAAAAGGATTGCCGAGTTAGAGCAGCCAAGCTCTCCTGCTTTACTCTTTAAAGATCTTGATGACGTTTGTAGTGCATTCAGAGCCCCAAACGTTCGAAAAAAAGCTAAAAAGGTGAGGTATATGCGCGCACGCGACCGATTTCTGCTGCTCTGTCGAGTTCGGTGCGTCAACAAGGGGGAGTGGGCTCACTTTTCAACCATTAGCTTGTTACTGGGCCTTGGTAAGGTAACACTCGTGATTGTAAGTTTGGTGACAGTTCTATGTAGTAACACTGCAAAGGAATGAGGTACCTCCAAAAGTGTACTCACTCGGAACGGTTTTTACTCTCTATCACTTTATTCGACCTGTGTTGCTTGTACTGCCTGCAGCCATATGAAAATTTATGTTCAACTTTGATTGATTTTGATGATCGCACGCTGCATTGATTTATGTTACAAACGGAAACAATTAATTTTTTGTCTCATTTTCTCCCTGGAACCAACGTTTGACATCGAGGGAATCATTGAGAAAGGGCAAGTTTTGTTTTTCCTCGAGCTTCTCCCCGAAAATATTGGAACTTGTTCTTTTCCTTTAGAAAAAATCATAAAGCGTGTAGAGCGGTTTTTTAAATACTCTTACGCGAATATCCCCCCTTTTATTTATGAATAGTGTTGCAAAGTCAGTTGTCAAAGTAAAGAAGCTGAGCACAACGGTTAATTTGTAGATACACATATGCTATCTTTGTAACTGGACATAGTTCAGTCAAATTAGAACAGTGAAAGACATCGATTGATAGGTGACTTTCCTAAACCTTTCACCTAATCAACTTTTTTAAAGCTTATTCATTCATTAATTTAATAATTCCTCGTACCTAACATTAACATCTCCAGTTATCAGTTGTGTAGACATATTAAATAAGTGGTGAGCCAGACAGAAAGATTGATAATACTGACATAAAAGAGTTAAAAAGTTTCTAAACGAAATATTTTTTTAAAGTTTTGATTTTTCTTCAGGTTGTCGTGTGTTTTCTTAATTACACATTGGATATGTCAATGGAAAAAACTGAGAAGCTACAGGACTTAGTAGAGGATATAAAGGATATGCAAGTTAACATCGTTCCCGTCGGTATTGGGGAGGACGCTAAATTATCAGAGTTAAAAAAGATGGCAACTAAAGATGGCACAGCACTTCACTTTGGAGAATACGAGTCACCCGAGACGTTAGGGACAGCGGTCATACAAGGTAACTTGAAGAGGTTTAACATTTCTTTACGAACCACACCTCCTCAGAATAATTAATTTCCTATGTTATGTCGGAAAGAAAAAGAAAGTATTACATCCTGTTGTTACAACTCGAATAGTAAAAGTGTTTTTTTAAACGGTGACGTAATTTAAAGGCTCTAGTATCTTCCTCCATTGGCTTTATCATATTCATATTTCACTTTTCGTACAGGTATCGAGGGAAAGGACATCTATGGTGAGGACAGGCCTATTTGGCATTTTTGGTAGCTATATAATCATAGACCGTTGAAGATTTTTTTCTGATGAGTTTTGACAGATTGTCAGCGCTCTTCGAGTTTTCTTTCGAGAGTATCCATTCTAAACTAGCGTCTCACTTCTTGTCTTTCAGAGAAATACAAGGATTACTTTACGACTCCTTATTTCGTCTTTTTTCGCGACACGCTGAGCTATATCACCCTCCTCGTTCTTCACTTCGCTCTTTGCCTTTCCCCTTCAACTGTTTCCTTCAGTCGACTAGAACGGGTTATATTAGTTTTCTTCGTGGGACGCATTGTAATGGAGATGGAGCAGTTTATCAGTGCTAAAAAGAACGCAGTGAAAGCACGCAAAGTGAAGAGAAATAGTGTCGGATGCACCCCCCTAGAATGTTCACCTGAGGATCCACAAGAGATAAATGAGGCAGGAAATGACAGCCTTTTGCCAAAGACGTTCATTGGTTACTTCAGGTATTTCATTTTTGATCGGTTTATTTTACTTTTAGAGAATACTAGATCCCAAACACGTAGAGGGCATAAATCTACGTGACCAGTGACCACATGAATTTAACTGACGGAAAAAAGTTAACCATCTTGATAAGGTAACAAAATTGAGCACCATTGACTGATTGGGTGCTGCAGTATAGCCTACTGTTCATTGTTAAGAGCTGCATCAATCATGATAAAATGCACCATTTTTAATGCTTGGGTGCATTAATAGGGGCCAGTAACAAATGTTTTGGTACGCCGATACGAACCCTCGCTCACTGTTTTGCCACATCGATTGGGGCCACTGCACATTAGTTGGGTAGACCAGCATGTAAACCAGGAGTCGCCTTCTAGGTATAATAATAAGGGCCACTTTACTTATTTGAGCACAACAGTATGAGCATCTTTTGATTTTTGGATACACCATTATAGGCCACTGTTATTTGTTTAGTTACACCATTACGGAATGATATTCTTTTTTTTAGGTACTTTCAGGTCATAAATTGGGTTTTACGCATGACGAGATCATAGACATTGAAAATGACCGTACTACCGAGGTTCTCTTTGACAATCTACATACTAAAGTTTTAAATTAAGCTACACGATAATGATTTTGAAACTGACAAGAAAGAAAAAAAAATAAGCGATTGGTAAACCTACAGTTTAAATCTTCCATTTTCATGGTAATAATCTTTTTTTTTCAACATCTTTCTCTGTAGTAAAAGGAGCAACAGCATGCATACGTAAACTTATTCTCTTGCATATGAATGACATACGATCTGTGCGTTGACTACGTTTATTTATGCTCTTCTAATGCAGTTGATATCCATTATATTTATAGTGACCGCTGGAATGTGCTTGACTTCATCACTCTTGTTTTATACCTGATTACATTCGTATTACGCATGACCACATTACGGATCTCCACTGACGTATCAGGAAACAGACTCTTGGTTGTGTCGGAGTATTTCTATGGTTTTATTGCCATGTTTCTCACAATAAGAGCCTTTGGTCAAGTCATAGAGCGCTTGCGGAAAATGGGTACAATACAAATCGCCTTATTTTTTATCATCGCTGATGTCTTGGCGATATTTTGGCAGTTTTTGGCCATGATTCTGGCTTTTGCGCTGCCCATGACAAAGATTTATGTTGCTGAGAAAGCTTATACTTCAGGAAGAGATTCCGCGGATTCTTTGTGAGTAGAAATTGTTACCTAGCCAATAAATCTTCGAACTCATAAATAACAGATTTTAACTTGATGTGCTTATTCATTTCTTACTCTTTTTTTCAGTGTGAATGTTTTTTTTTAAGTTGGGATGGGAACCTCATGTGTGTCTAGGCGCCCAAAGAAAGTGACATTTGGCTAAGAGCTAATCAAGTGAAATTTAGTTTTTGGATGGGAAGCGTAACAGGAGTTTAAAACTACTTACACCAGAGTGCCAGACTTTCTATAAAAAGCGAGTTTGTTTTACTATCTTTGTGACTCTGTGTAAATTTTAACCATTCCTTTTCTCCTAGTATTTCAAGGGTGTGCAGTGAATCAGGGATAATTTGGTAAGAGTAACACTATTGTTGCTGTTTATCATTCCAAATTTTAACATCGTGTACTGATCTTAAATACGAATCACGCGATATCTTCACAAAACTTGAGTTCTACGTTTTAAATGCTTCGAAATCAGTTTTAATTGACTTTAAAAAAGTCAGTTGTGAGCTGAAATTGTGATGCAAAAGAGGAAGCGACCCAGTGGCTGGTCAGCTAGGTTTCACTAGTGTTAATAAATAATGAACGGCTGGCTACCTGCCTGTCGTTTCCCAGAGGAAAGGCAAACTGAGGTCTCCCGAGAGAGGGGGGGGGGGGGGGGGGGGGGGGGGGGGAAATTGCATGTTTTATAAAACAGGTTCCACTGTAATCCTGCGTGCTTCACCAGAATTTGCCGTTTTTCGTCATGAAACGTTTCAGGGAAAACGCCGTTAATTTTCGTGGCAGTAGATCTAGAGTTACGAGACAAGAAGTAGTTCCGAGTCCAAAGTTATCCTCTTTGTTTACCATTCCTCTCGTGGCTTCGCCACTTAAAACTTGCACAAGCAGCCAGCTATTCAGTTTCACCTCTTAAAAGAGGCACCTGTGACACGAAAGCTTCCATAACGCGGATGTTCGGAAACAGCTATGGCGGTCATACTGCACTCAGTTGAAAAACTTAATGAATGATTAGTTTATCTAACTCGTTACTTTTAAAACTGTTCTCTAGTTGGTGGAACATAGCGACACACCTAAGCTGGTCTTTGCTGGGTTTAGCTGACCAAGATTGGTTGGACTCCGTCGACGTTCCTTCCGTTTTTCTTGTTCGTCTGCTGTATGGCTTCTTCTTAATCATGGCAGTTGTTCTTCTCGTGAACATGATGATTGCTTTGCTCTCCAATACGTATCAGCAGGTTCAGGTACTTAACAGATCCCTGCCATCACGGAATCAATTTATTCTCTTCATAATCCAGAATTAAGGGAATATGGGCTCTTTTCGGCATAAGATACCAGATACTTTTCGTTGATAAGCTTCTATGATCTATTTTTGTTTATTATTATTATTTACTATTATTTGTTTTGGCCAACAATATTATAATCCAACTGGTTAAAAAGGTTCCATATCGTACCCATGTTGTTTCTCTGTAAGAATGATGATCAGCCCAAGAGGAGCAGCTCAAGGCTACCGTTAATACCCTATTCCTTTTGTGCAGCGCGTCCGCAGTTGGATTCGTAGTTTTGGAGTTAAAATTTGATGAGTATTTTTGTAAAAAAAAATGCTGTGGAATTTTGTTTCTGGTGTATGATAGTTTTTCTCCCGCTGAGGGAGTGACGCCTGTTGTTCCTATTTACTGGTACGTCCTTAGATGCTGTTAAGTCCCTCTTTTTGTCTCTATTAGGATAATTCACTGCATGAGTGGTCTTTCAAGAGAGCCATTATTGTTAGGACTTACAGTAAGAATAATCCAATACCAGTGCCTTTGAACATTTTGTCTGTTCCACTGATGGTGCTCTGGGAAATCATTTTGGGGAGTCCGTGTTGCACATCGTTTGACACTCCTGGTTTGGATGAGGCAGGACGGGTAAGCTGGTAACGCGTGCTAATCAACTTTTTTTGAGTTTTTAAAAATAGCCGCTGTTGTTAAAAGTTATCGTTCATGTCCACTCAGTTATTTTACTTACTATTTTATTTCTGCTTTTTATTTGAAATTTCTTTGATTCGACAGAGTAGAACCCTGGATAAATTGGTGAAGAAGCTAGAAAGAAGATACTTTGAGAAGTACGGTTATGAATTTCCCCTCACAGGTAGGGTGATATGCTAGATTTGTTAATAGCCTCGCATATATGATAAGGTCATAAAACAAATTAAAGAAGGTGCGAAGATCGCTTTCATAGTCATCTCTTAATCCTCGGATCTCGTGGATGATTTTCATATTTTCACAGTCATTTGTAATGATTTTGTTAACACCACTCAAAACAGGCCAAGTTAATAGGTGGTTCCTATCTTTGTTTAGAGGAAAGAAAGATGGATCACTTGGTGAGACAAAATGAAGGAGGTCGGAAAATGACTAATCAGATTGTACGGGAAATATTCCAAACGTATGGAAACAAGGCGAAGAAACTTGCGTTTGGCCGAAGAGTGAGTGATTTTCAGGCCTACAGAGATTCCCACCACACTCTATAGACCTTGCTACACCAGGAAATACCTTTGTTATATTTACTATTTCACACAAAAATTCTTCCTTCGAGCAAGTTAAATGTGAAACCGGGAAAATTACTGAGTACACTTTGTGTTGTATTTTCCTTCTTCCCTTGACGCTTTTGAAGCAGATTTGGGATGTGTGTGTGGTTGTAAGTATTTTGATGTTTGATTATGACAAAAAAATCTAGTAAAAGATATATGAGCATATAGATATACACAACTACATTTGCAGAGTTGTGTAATTATTTTTGTCTGTGTCAATCTCTATGTCTCAGTTTTGTGAAGGTACTTCATGTAACTGAAATTTTGTTCGATCATCATTTAAAGGCGTGGCGTAATTCGCCAGGAATTGCTGTGGATGGCTGCCTCCTAACTTACTTGGGACCTGATTTCTGCAAAAAATGCAAAGATGGAAAGCCTAACAACATTCACAGTGCCAAATTCAATTCTCCCTTTACAGAAGAGACACCACGATTTGAGGTGAAGTTTTGATTTACACACACAGACATACATACATACATACACTTAGACAGACAGACGGATATACATGCATACAAAATTACATTCACAGTTTATTGTATAGCCCCTCCCCCTTCCCCCTCCTCTTGGGAGCTCTTCCGCTATACGAAGAGAATTATTTGCGAACAGCATATGTCGATCACATAGTTCCTGCTACACGGTGAAATCTCTGGGAAAAGCGACATAAGTACACCTCTTTTTGACCATTTTCCTTTTGAAAGCCCAGCTGCTCTTACTTGTTTCTATTTTGGAGAACTATTATACTTAGTTTTAAAGAGTGAGCTTAGTGAGGTGTTCATAGTAGAAAGACGAGACCGTCATCGTTTTGCAGGTACTCATTCAGGGGACTGGAGAGAGGCGTATTATAGCACTAGGTGTTGTGAATAAGTCTTTCGACTGTCACAAAATGCCTGGTTTAAGTATTGGAACAGTTGGTTACCACGTAGACGATGGGAAAATATTCGAAGGTGGCTGTTCTGAAGTGGGAAGAGAGATCGAAGGTATGAGTTACTTCGATTGCAGGTCACGTATCTACTCAAATGTTTACGAAGGTTTCGTCTCTTTAAAATCTTTGTTAGTTCTCCCCTTGAAGCAAAATGAATTTGCCCCTACCTTTACCAGCTCGCCCTTAAATCTTTCAACTCGTTTTCTGACGGTAGAATATATACTTCTTCTCTGGGGAAATCATGATACGTTTCGAACAATGTGTAATTGTTTTTCTATGGAGAAGACTAGAGTTCGAAAGCTCGAGAAGTCGCAATGAAATGCCAGGCGCAACGACGCAGAAGTGCGAGTATCAACTTACGAAATACGTATGTTGGTCATTGCTTTAGAATGTGTGTTGCCTCCTAAAGAAGCCGTTTTAGTCTAGTTTGTTCATAAAAGTATTTCTTAAAATTTGCCGCGAACACTAGCATAAAACAGTGTCAACCATGCTAGATAAAGAGCGGAGTAATACAGCGGCTTTGCATTACTTGTTCGGTAGTCGTGCGTCATTTCACTCGGCTGATAATTTGCATGTTGATAGAAGTTTTTTATAGTTTTGCTGTGAAATTTCATGTTGATCGATATAAACGAAGATTTAAAAAAAATATCTTCTACTGAAGGTGACAAGTTGAAATATTTTGGAGGCGAACTGGTAAAGGTGGGGGCCGGAGCTTGTTTTACTACAGGAAACGAACTCAAAGATGTTTTAGGGACGAATTGGCAATGGGGCGAAATCTCCAGTTCCCGACTTACAAGGTTCTGATGGCGCTTGAAAACGTATTCAAGGTTTTA